AACGCTCACTTATGGTTACATGTGTATATCTTGGTAACCGGTGCACCAATATCTTCCAAACTTGGCACAGTTGTTGGCCTTGGTACACCATACCAAATGGTCGAAAATTTTTAAAAACGGACAATAACCACGCCCACATCCCATATCACGGTAATTTAGAGAAATACGAAATCCTCGACAAATCAGTAAATATTAAAGCTTATTTATTCAAAATTGATGGTTGCAACAATTCTTTACCAGGAAATACGTTTATGATAAAATTTTGGAAAATGGGCGTGGCACCGCCCACTTATGATCACNCTTTTCATATAACGGTAAATTTCAGATATGCTTGAAATTTCAATATTTCGAAATTTAAGAACGCTAATTTACTTAAAATTTATACACCCCGGCCTATCATGTAGCGGTAGCTTTCGGAAAGGTGGAAAACATATCTTTAATAATTGCGCCGGGTTTTTAATGTTCGGCTCCGCCCGAACTTAGACTTTCTTACTTGTTTTATTTATTTTTATTTTTTTTTTTTTATTAATTTATCGTTTCATCCTAACACAACAATTAAGGAAATTATTTTAAAGTGTTAGTCATATTGAGATAACATTGAATTAATAGATATAAAATACACATAAAAATGGAAAATTTAAAAATTTTGTATTAATTTCATATTACAACAAATCTATTATAACCAGATCTTTTATATAAGTGCAAAGAAAAGAAGAAGAAAAGAAAAGAAAAGAAAAGAAAAGAAAAGAAAAGAAAAGAAAAGAAAAGAAAATAAAAGAAAAGAAAAGAAAAGAAAAGAAAATAAACAAAATGTTAAATATATTCACTGTTATTATAGTAAATGGTTAACTCTTTATTGAAAAGCAGGACATTCTTTATAAGTCTTAACCTAATAGGAAGAGAGTTCCAAAGACGTATAGAGTTAATAAAGAACTGACGCTCGGACACAAGAGTCCGATACTTAGTGTGAACAAGAAGTGAAGACCTCGGAGATTGAAGGAATTGAAGTCTGTCGTAAAGATATTGAGGTTCTTTAGTGTGTATAATTTTGTGGAGAGTCAATAGTGTTCTGACTTTTAACAGGTTATCAAACGAGATGTTTAGTATCTTTTCAGAAAATGCTGATACGTGGTCAAGTCTCTTTAGCTCAAACACATATCTTGCAATGTTGTTGTAGACAACATTTAGCTTTTTCCTGCATACAAAGTCACAATTAGAATAAATTTCACATCCATAAAGGAGCGTCGGTAGCAAGTACGCTTTAGCTAAGAGTAATCTTATATTTAAAGGAGTGAAGTACTGTGAGGGCCAGAGTGTACGAAGCATTCCATACAATTTTCCTACCGCGTAAAAAATATGGTCTTTCCACATATGACGCCAAAATTCTTAGCCGTGTCTACATATTTTATCACATATTGGTTCAACATAATTACATTAAGCTACTTGCATCGAAAACTTTTCTACAAATTACGATGCATTTAGATTTTTCAGGGTTAAGGCATAAGCCATTTATGGAAGCCCACTCACCTACTCGAGTTAAATCAGAATTTAGATCTTGAATACACTTATTGGTACGGTCAAATGGACAAGTAATATATAATTGGACATCATCAGCATAAATATGGACATTATAGTTATTCAACACATTAGGTAAGTCATTTATAAACAACACAAACAATAGAGGACACTCGTAATCACGCTTACTCGCGATGGAAACGGTATAGATCTCCGGAAACACTAAGTCGTTTTAAAAGAGCCCGTGTTGCAGTTAACAAAGCCGTAAAGTCGGCTAAGTCAATGTTTTACAAAGAAAAATTCGAAACTGCAGTAAACTCCAGGCAAACCTGGAACACTATTAAGAAGATTGGAGTAGGCAAATCCGTTGAAAATGTTCCCTCCACTTTGGATGTCAATGAGCTAAATAAGTCCTTTGTAAGACAAACTGTATCTGGTGATAATATATGTTATGAGTACTACCATGATCGTGTAAATGTTAATGCTAGTCCTTTTGTTTTTGTCGGTGTTGATGATTGCGATGTTGTCCAAGCCATACTCTCCATTAAGTCCAAAGCAGCTGGACTTGATGGAATTAGCTCAGTCTTTCTTAAGATTATTCTACCAAAGGTTCTGCCACATTTGACTTTCCTAATCAATTCTATTTTGACAACTTGCGTTTTTCCGAAATGCTGGAAAGTCGCTAAGGTTATACCTATTCGGAAGACAAATAATGAGTTCCGGCCTATATCTGTTTTGCCTTTCTTGTCAAAAGTAATCGAGCGTATCCTGCACAAACAAATCTGTGCATATGTGTATGATAACAGTCTCTTGACTGACCGCCAATCGGGCTTCAGAGGTAGTAGAAGCTGCACCACGGCTCTTTTGGATGTAACGGAGAGCATCAGATCGCAAATTGATGCCAACAACATCAGTTTTCTGACACTTCTCGACCACTCGAAAGCTTTTGACACTGTGGATCATAAACTTCTATGCCTTAAGTTGAGAAACTTATTTAATTTCTCAGGTCACGCAACTGCTCTGATCAGATCTTACCTTGGCGACAGAACTCAAGCTGTGAGTATTGGCGGCATAACGTCAGATTTCCTGGCCGTATCTAAAGGAGTACCGCAAGGGTCAATCCTCGGCCCGCTTCTATTCGTCCTATACATTAATGACCTTCCTAAAGTGTTGAAAAACTGTAATGTACACATTTATGCTGATGATGTGCAATTGTATGTAAGCTGTTCTGTTAGTCGTGTCCGTAATTGTATTAGTGACCTAAATTCTGATTTGTCTCGTGTAGCTAATTGGGCCTCAATGAATGGTTTATGCCTTAATCCGGGAAAGTCTAAATGTATTGTAATTCATAGAAAATATCTCGATATTAATTATCTCGACAAAATTAGGCTAGATAAATCTGAAATTGAATATGTTGACAGGGCTAAAAATCTTGGCGTCATCTTTAACAACACATTGACATGGAATGAGCACTTCTTTAACTCAGTAGGTAAAGTGTATGGAATGATTCGTACACTCTGGTCAGTACAGTATTTCACTCCAATAAATATAAGACTACTATTAGCTAAAGCGTACTTAATACCTACGCTTCTTTATGGATGTGAAATTTATGCAAATTGTGACTGTGTATGTAAGAAAAAGTTAAATGTTGTCTA